AACATTCTATAGGCATTTATAGTTGTTGACTTACCTCCTTGCAGCAAACAGCAAACAGCCTGATTAGCACAAGAAAAAAAATCTACCTCTGCCTTACAGCAATTTGCCTTGTGAAGCAAACAGCAAGTTTCACTTTCAATTTCTCCCGATCATGAGCTGTTTGAGGCTGCAGGGGTTGCTATAGCTTATTGAAGCCTCTACAAGCCCCCGTTTGCTGCAAAGAGGTAAATTGCTGCCAAAGGCCAAAGGGTTGGGGGCGGTGAGTGGGTGGGGCTACATTCAGTGTATAAGACGCACCTACATTTTCACCCTCTTTTAGGGGGAAAAGGTGCATCTTATACTTCAAAAATATGGTAATTTATGCAGTCAGCCATCATATTTATATAGCCAACCATCTCATAAACATGACTCTGGGCAGTGTACAATTAAAAAAAGAAGAACTGTACCAAAAGCATTCCACAATTAGAAGAATATCAATATTATTCAAAGACCAGGAGTGTTTTAGAAAGTAGCCAATGCAAACTCTTCGCAAATCAATTTTCAAAATCTTGTTTGTGTGTTTCAGATCGAAATGCTAGAGCACAAATATGGGGGCCACTTGGTCTCTCGGAGAGCAGCCTGCACGATTCAGACTGCCTTCCGCCAGTACCAGCTCAGCAAAAACTTTGAGAAGATCCGGAACTCTCTACTGGAGAGCCGCATGCCCCGGCGGATTTCCTTGAGGAAACTCCGAGTCCAGAACTCTGAAAATTTCTCTGCTGAGAAAGCTCTAGTGGAAGGCTATAACTTTGTTGGCATCCCCTTGGTAAGATCTCCCTCTTTGCCAGTAACTATTAGCGGGGCACTGACCGAACTGGAAGATTCCTTCACCGAGCAAGTTCAATCTCTGGCCAAATCGATTGACGACGCGCTGAGCACGTGGAGCCTGAAAACGATGTGCTCCCTTCAAGACGGCAGCTCCTATCAGATAAGAGAGACCTTCAGCACGAGCGCCATGCAACCAAACCAAGACTTGGACATGGAACTGAAGGAGCAAGAGGAGGAGGAAGGGCTGCTACCAGACACATTACCAAAGAGCAGCAGCACGCTCATGATGGCCTTCAGGGACGTCACTGTCCAAATAGACAACAAGAATATCTCGGTCTCCTCATCTACCTCGGTGTCGATGGCAAACTGCCTGGCTAACAGTAGCCAGGCTGGAATTTCTCCAGCTGCCACAATCGAAGAAATCCCAGTGGAAGGCGGGGAGAAAGAGGATAAGGAGCTTCAAGTGGTTTCGGAAGGACAGCCTGATGCTGGAGCCCTCCAAAATAGTCACCCAATCACCGAGGGGAACCTCAACACCAACGGTTTGGAGAAAGGGGAGGCTGAGCAAGACCAAATGCCGATGCCGAAACTTGACTTTGACTCTGAAAACGGGACTGGGCAACACAAGGGATCAGAAGCTGAAAATGTAGACAATTTGGAACAACTGAGCAGCAGCAGCACGTCCACCTCCGCGAAGTCTGCTTCAGAGTTATCCTCTAAGGAAGCCCTGCAAGCTATGATTTTGAGCCTGCCACGGTACCACTGCGAGAATCCAGCCGTCTGCAAATCCCCCACGCTCTCTACGGACACCATGAGGAAACGGCTGTACCGCATTGGGCTGAATCTCTTCAACATGTAAGTGACTTGACAAGAACATCTCTTTAAAATCTCTTGTAGCTTTCCTGAGTTCATCCAAACAAGAGGCTACCAGAAACAATTAGGTTAGCTGTGGCTTATCCCAGCAGTATGATTTTCTGGTTTAGAGGTTCAGCCTTCGAAGGGCCGAGGGTTGTGCATGGACTTAAGGAGAAGTAATGGCTTTACTATAATCTGCTCTTGACTAGACCCAGCCTAGAATAATTGTGCCACTTCTGAAAACCATGCTTAAAAAGAATTTAAACAAACTGAATTCAAGGCTAGAATCTAGAAATAAGGGATGCAGGCAGTGGGGGGATTCAATTTTTTTTTTTACTACTGGCTCTGTGGGTGTGGCTTGGTGGGGTATGGCATGGCTTGGTGGGCATGGCAGGGGAAGAATACTGTAAAATCCCCATTCCCTCCCCACTCCAGGGGAAGGTTACTGCAAAATCCACATTTCCTCTCTACTCCAGGGGAAGGATATTGCAAAATCCACATTTCCTCCCCACTCCAGGGGAAGGATATTGCAAAATCCACATTTCCTCTCCACTCCAGGGGACGGATACTGCAAAATCCACATTTCCTCCCCACTCCAGGGAAAGGATATTGCAAAATCCACATTTCCTCCCCACTCCAGGGGAAGGATATTGCAAAATCCACATTTCCTCTCCACTCCAGGGGAAGGATACTGCAAAATCCCCATTTCTTCTACACTCCGGCGGAAGGATACTGCAAAATCCTCATTTCCTCCGCACTCCAGGGGAAGGATACTGCAAAATCCACATTTCCTCTCAACTCCAGGGGAAGGATACTGCAAAATCCACATTTCCTCCCCACTTCAAGGA